ATGCTTGGGGGGAAGAGGCCCTAGTCCCCATTGCCATGGGGACACTGATCGATCCCTTTTCCTGCCCTGCCAGGCCTGTGCTCGAATCAAGAGTCTGAATGGAACTTAGGGGGGACCCCATGCTTTTTTCCACATTTTTTTGGGGTTCCCCATAACATTTCTACCAGGCCTTAAGAGGCTAGTATGGCTTAGGGGTTGCCCCATGCACTCCCCCCCCCATTTTTGGGAGGTGAGGTTCCCCTTAAAAGTTCCCCTTAAAGGTCCCTAAAGGGTCTGGTATGGATTAAGGGGGCATGCTGTTTTTTTTTTTTTCTTATAAAAATGTAAAAAAAAAAAATGTCAATCCTGCTGCAGCAGGTTCTAAACATTGTACAGATGTGCAATCTTGCAGGTAGTTTAAGGGGACCCTTCCCCCAGACATGATATTTAAGGGAGTTTTCTTTTTTTTTTTTTATTTAATTTAATTTAAAAACATACTTTTTGAATTTTATTTTTCACTGATTCATGTCCCTCAGGGCACTACCCGAGTCCCTTTACCCCTTTTCTGGCCAATACTTTGCATATAAGTCTTCAAAATAGGCACTTTTGAATTTACAAGTTCGCGTCCCATAGACTTGCATGGAGTTTGAAGTTAGCGGTTGAACATTCATTAGGTTTGAGTGTTCAACCGCAAACCGAACACGACGGTGTTCGGTCCATCACTATTAGGCATGTAATGCTGTCAGTACATGCATAGAGCATGATGACAATATATTATATAAAACTAAAGAACAATGTGTATATAGACATGAATAAGTCTCATAATGAAGAGAACAAAATTAAGCTGTTATACATTACCCTCTCATTCTTATTGTCCTTCAAGCAGCCTCATTGAATTTGTATTTGCAGAAGACACAAGAGCAATCTTAGCGTTGGGCACAGATTATCTATCAAAAAATAAAACTTTATTTAGTTCCCTTAAGAACTTTTCCCTTTTTCTTAACATCTCTACAATTGTCCTTGGCCAACGTGTCCTTGGCCTGATGTACTGAACGTATTATAACCATTTATAATGTGATGGTCCATCTGATCTGGTAAGAGGAGCTTTTAACCATGTCACAAGGTGGTGAAATCTCCTCTGTGGTGGATTATACAGCACTAACTGATGAATAGTAATCTCTGTTTGCAGGTTATGGAATGGATTATTTTCTGGATGAAGGATTTCTAAGGAAGGACTGTGTTATATATCTTTCTTTCTGGATGCACTCTGTATGGACACTTTAATTTATTGTTATATAATAATATGTTGTTTATTCATTTTTTTATACATATTTTTATGAAATTCTGAGTGTGTCACATGTTGGTAATTGAATCTTTAAAAGCTTTTTGTTTGCACTATTTGATTGATTGGTATTACAGTTACACAGCAGCTGCTTGTTCTCATAGATTGGTGACAACACAGATTTAATTTATCTTTACAATGAATTCAATTGTACATACAGCCAATACTTTTTTTTGTCTTAGATCCAAAAGGAAAAGAATTAAATTCCTGTCAGTTTTCTTTTTATGATCCATTGGGGAGATCCTTTGAGTTCTATCATGGAAACACTACAGATAGTGAGAACAAATTGAGGTGAAATCTCTTTTTATACAGTTGTCATCTGAACATTTGCACAAAGTTGAAGATTTCCCAACCATTCCTTATCTGGTGGCTCAGAATAACGGGGACAAAGACAATGCAAAAAAAATCTTATTAGAGCTTTCAGCACTTCCCTACTCAATCCAAAACTAAAAAATAAGTTTTGGCTTTGCATTCACTTTATACACCCACTATCTGAAGTTAATTGAATGAATAAATTCATGTGGCTGCTGACAGAATATGGCTTTTATCATAGAAACTGTAACCCTAGCTTAACACCTATGCGTTTTCCACAGCGTTTTGCATTTTGTAGAAATGCAGCACACAGTCCATTTAACATGATTTCCTGTGGGACATGTGTGACGATCGCGGTGTCAGATCCCAGCCCTTATCACCAAATTCGTGACCGAAAGGACTAGCCAATCTAAAACTGCGCTGTCACATGTTTAACAATGCCATGCCCAGCTGCACTCTGCACAAAGATTTTCCAGCTAATGGACCACAATGCAGCCTGGGAGCGATTGTTACTGGATCAGGTTAATTTTGCAATTAACCCTTCACACTGCCACCACCTCCTTCTTGTACAGAGAAAGAGGAAACTCGGCAATAACAGCAATAACACTATAATGTTTGCATATGTGTCGGTATACCACTGTCACCACAGGCAGAGATATACCGAAGTTTAAAAAACACACACACAGTAGCGCTCTTCAGAGGCAGGGGTTCTTAGTTTGCATTAAAGAGCTTTAGAAACAGTTCAACACTTTCAGAAAGTAAGATTTATTACTGAAAGCTCAAAAGGGTGCAATAAAAATATTTACAGAAAAAGATGTAGCCAATATATATATATATATATATATATATATATAAATATAGAGAAAACAATAGCACAGCAAAGAGATAACAGAAAGAAGTTTAGAGGGATAAAGTACTTGCCGTCAGCCTTGGTTTGAGCAGATCAGGTTTCAGAGGCAAAAAGATACCTTATCTCCCAAAAATTAGTTCTGATGTTAAAAAAGGGAGAATCTTCAACTTAACTCAACTCAGCTTAGCTCAGCTTTTTCTAGGAACTCAGCAGGGTGTCTCCCCAAAGCAGAAAACCAATCACCTCATCTGGGGAGGGGTGTTGGGGCGGAGACCCAAGCTAGAACCAAAAACTCTCATAGTTGATGTCATGGTTCATAACATATTCTCGGTGCATTTAGCAGCCTGGCCAGTAGTAGAGTAATATGCAGACGCATCTGCTGAAGAATGGTTAGATATGAAATATGACATACCTGCTTGGATGGTTAAGAAATTATAATTTTCTGCCAGCCATGGGGTGTAATATATCAGGCGACTTGTATTAAAGTGAGCCGTCTGAATACGTGCTCCATGTTTATGCAATTATGTCCTATTTGAAGATATAAAATTATATGGAAAAGTGAGTTTTCAAATGTAAGTCTGTTTTTACGACTACCTGGAATGTCTCTGAAGCTCAGTAAGGGCTTGGTTTATGGTTTTAAGATCCCTTCTCCAGAAAGAGTCTCGTAGACATAGGGACACCAGCTAGTGGGGTTTATAGCCAATGACGCCCTCCCAATGAGTTTGCTGCCTGTGATCTCTGTCATCATCCAGACCACATGTCACTCAACAGAGAGGGAGGGGGGATATTGGAGGAATCTGATTTGAGAGAGAGAAATACAAGATGGAGGGGTTTGGAGCAAAATGGATGACCGAGTCCATCACTGTGTGCATGATTGCTACAACATGTTCACATCTCTGCGTTTTCACCAGGTGCGCTTGTTTGAAAGGGTCAGGAACTTTTTTGAACGCAAAAAGTAGCATTTTTGGTTCTATAGACTTCAATGGAAATGCTGCAGAAAAGCATGTAGTGCATTTTTATGCATGTTTGATGCGTTTTTGCTGCATTTTTTATGTGTTTTGCATTTTAGATCTGCCTAGCAACAAGAAAAATTTTAAAAATGTTAACAAAATGTGGCAAAAATGCGTCAAAAATGCAACACAAAATACAATGCAGAAATGGCTCAAATGCAACCTGCATAGGTGTGAACCTAATATTACAGTGATGTTAGCACCAAAAACTAATCTTAAATTAGGCTTTTATAATCCAGGTATCCTTTAAACCCCTGATGAAGGGGGTACTTTATTACCCTTGAAACACATAAATTGTAAAAAAAAACTTTGCTAATAAATAGACTTTTATACTTCACAATTGGTTTGGTGATGTTTCTTTTCTATATGTCACACATACATTTGCTTGTATCACTACTGAGTATTTTTACTGACCTAGAGCACGCTTGTGCTTATCAGCTATTAGGAGCTATCACCAACAAAATCACATTAGCAAGAGCAGCGCCCAAATTCCTGTATACAGCTGTAACATTTGGTTTCACTAGTTTTTTTCACAGAAAAGCTTTGGGCACAAATAGTTTTATATAGAGTTTGTGCACTGCATACAGTATGTATATATACTTTTGGTCTTATATATTATTTGTTTCACAGATAAGTTTTTGTGGCATTAGTACATGAGTTTTGCATGGATTGTAATGGTATATGTTAGTATACACATTTAGTAATTACATTTGATTTTAGGAGCACCTGAAAAGTATGCTAAACCGGCAACTGTACAGGGTTGTTTTATTAAAGGCAAAAAGGCTGTTCACTTTGTAGTCGAATTTGCATGGGAATTCCTCCCAGAGCTTTGTGAAAGTAGTAAAATTTCACTATGCAGATAATACCCAATCACCTGCAAGGAAAATGAAAAAAAAAACAGTTTTTTTGCTTGCACATGGTTGGAGGATGAAAGTCAGAGCTTAATCTTATTCACTAAGCTCTGGGGAATATTCCCATGAAAAGTGCAACTTCCTTCGCAAAATGAACAATGTATATGCCTTTTGTGAGATTGAATTGAATTTAATGTTAAAATGTCGATATTAAAAAGCCAAAGTATGTTTTTTTTAAAAATTCATAGAACATGCAGTACCATAGGACATTTTGAAGCTGGATACTCATTTTCTGTTTTTTCATATCATCTTGACAACTATGAGAACCCCACCGTGATAACACTGTTCAACAAATTTTTATTTTTTGCCAGTTTTTGGAAACAAAAGGATCCATTTCTTAATGAATTTCACATTCTGAGTTCAAATATAACAATGAAATTTGTCAATTGGCTCTAGTTTTTCTGTAAACGGAAAGTTTTCTACTATAGGCGTAATGACTACATAATGCACAATAATTATATATAGAGATGAGCGAATTATTCAAAAATTCGGTTTGGCTGATTCGCCGAATTCGCCGAATAAATTCGCTTCGAGCCGAATATATTCGCTGCGAATTTAACTTATAAAAAAGGGTGTTTCTAGGCTTCAGAGAGCCTTTATATTAGTGCAGAACACTGTACCTTTAATTTAAATGCCCTTGGAGTCTGCTGGGGAAGAGAAATAATACTGTCAGTCAGTATGACATGCAGATGAGTGCCGTCGATCTTAGAATCACTGCACACTTCACTCATTTGGGCAGTCTACGAGGGCCAAAACCAGAGTGTGGAGCCACAGTTGTGGCGGTGGAGGCAGCAGCAATGGATAGGCCATACAGCACCCTTATGACAAAATGGAACCCACCAGCAGTGTGAGGAGACCTGAAAGTGGCAACATGGGCAGAGTGTGGCCAATGGATAAGGGGAGCAGAAAATGGGAGGCCGTACAGGGACCCATGACACACCGGTGGGGCCCATGGGCAGAGTACGGGCCTGGCCAGCAGCATGAGGATGCGGTAATAGGGGCACCATGGGCAGAGTGGCGGAGCGTAAAAAGGGCAAAGGGCTAATAAAATTGGAAGGCCATACCGAGGCCTATGTGAAAAAGTCGCCCCAGCAGCAGCGTGGGGAGATGACTATCAAGAGTCCAATGGCAGAGTGTGCGGAGCAGAAGCAGCTTTCAATTGAAGGCCATACACTAGGCCTAGCGTTTAAAATAGTCCCTCACAGTATAATTTCCAATAACGAACTCTTACTCCCTCCAGTTGCAATCTACTTAACGAGACCCTGGGCAGGTCTGGGTCCAATTTGTGGTAGAGCACTGGATTTTTGTTATTCAGCCATGCTTGAAGCGTGTTAAATAACAGGTCTGTGCTTGCCCTTTGTTGTCTGGCTAAATGCGCCCGAACCACTGAACGTCCCCAGCGTTTGGTGTCCATCGAATTGCCGTTAAGTTGATGCAAACCCCGCTGGAACACGTTCATGAGGAGCCGGGTACAGGGGGCCAATGAATTCATTATGGAACCTGTCAGCAGGTAGTGAGCAGACGACAGCGGCACATGCGCGCAGGGGTGGCGGTGGAGGCCGAGCATGTATTCTGAAGCCATACACGAGGCCCTAGGTTACAAAGCGGAAGCCGTCAGCAGCGTGATGGCAAGACGACAGAGACCACATGGCGCAGGGGGTGGGCGGTGGATGCAGCAGTAATTCGGAAGCCAAACACAGGCCTCGGTTACAAAAGCGGAAGCCGTCAGCAGCGTGAGCAATACGACAGAGGCACATGGCAGCAGAGTGGCGGTCGGAGGCGAGCAGGCAATGGAAGGCCATACAGCACCCTATCCACAAAAATGGAACCCACCAACAAAGTAAGGAGACCTGAAAAGTGGCACATGGGCAGAGTCTGGCGATGAAGTCAGCAGGCAATGGGAGGCCGTACAGGGGAACCCATGACACACTCTGGAACTGGCCAGCAGCCAAGGAGGAGGCGGGGTTACAGGGGCCCATGGCAGAGTGGCAAAGCGTTTAA